CAATTTTTATCCGATCGACAAAAATCAAATATCTTTATACTCAGCATGGGTGCCTTTATGGTAGTACCTAGCCTTTTTTAAAAAGAATCACTAGATTTTTTTTGGCAATCGATTTTATGTCAGATTTTTAGGCGAAAATTCGATTTTTTTTTTAAAGTCGCGCCATTTTCTCAAAAATTGATATTTTTTAAAATCCACCGGTACTACCTTAGCCAAACTGTCACAGATTAAGAACCAATTTGTATTTTTGCTTTAGGTCATTCCAGTCAGCCACAATCGTGTACACCAGCAAGACATACGCGACGCTAGCGGCCTCTTTTGACGGCGTTTATTTTATAAACCATGATGATTTTTCAAAAACAAAAAATATGTTCAGTGTCTTTAATATGTAAATAAAAAAGCCCAAAGACCCGATTTTGAATTGCGCACTTCTTTGTATGTAAAAAAAAATCTTGAAAATGAGGTCGATTTTGGCCGTAAAAGGTGTTATACCCCCTTAAATATTGTTTACTGTATGACATAAACAAATAATTTTTGTAATGTACAATACAACTTTTAAAAGAAACTATGGTTAAATATTTAAAAAAATATTTCTTTCAATTTTGTTTAGTATTAACTTTAAATTTGTTTAGTTTCTAACTGGTTCTTTAAAAATAAGTTATGGCATTTTAAAACCTCATCATAATTTTACGGACACATTGTATATTTCAACATTCTCGTTAAGAAAAAAATTGATCCTGATTGAGTTAAAAAGTTTGTAATGAATATTCGGTGGTTTTGCAGCATTAAAAAAGTAATAAAACAGAAAATAGAATAAACTTTTTATTGTCCAGTTATCACGAGATGGGAACGAGAGACCTGCCAACTATGATTGATTACGTACTTAGTTACACAAAACAACAAACTTTGCACTATATTGGTCATTCGATGGGAACTACCACGTTATTCATTTTACTATCCATGAAACCCGAATACAATGCAAAAATAAAATTGGGAATCTGTCTTGGTCCGGTTGCTATTTGGAAAGAAAGAATTCCTTTACCAGAAAATATTTTTAATAAAATACCAAAGATTATGGTAAGAATCAGACATCAATCATATTTAAAAAAA